AGACAAGATGCAAACATAAAGGGGATCCAAATAGGGAAAGAAGTAAAACTCTCCCTCTTTGCAGATGACATGATCTTGTATTTAAAGAATCCCACAGACTCCACTCCCAAACTACTCAAGCTGATTCAAAACTTTGGCAAAGTAGCAGGGTATAAAATTAACCCTCAATCAATGGCTTTTCTCTATGCCAACAATGAGAACAACATGGCTGAAATCAGAAAAGCAACTCCATTCATAATAGCCTCACAAAAAATAAAATACCTAGGAATTAACTTAACCAAAGAAGTGAATGACCTCTATGATGAAAACTTTAAAAACTTGAAAAAGGAAATCAAAACAGAACTTCGAAAGTGGCAAAAACTCCCATGTTCCTGGATTGGAAAGATCAACATCGTCAAAATGGCAATACTTCCCAAGGCTATCTACAAATTCAATGCGATACCTATCAATGTTCCAACTTCGTTCTTCAAGGAAATAGAAGAAGCAATCCAAAAATTCATATGGAACAATAAAAGACCCCAAATAGCAAAAACTATGCTTAACAGAAAGAACAGTGCTGGAGGAATATCAATATCAAATTTTAAACTCTACTACAAAGCCACAGTAATCAAAACAGCTTGGTACTGGCACAAGAACAGACCTCAGGACCAATGGAATAGAATTAAAAATCCAGAAATGAACCTACAGACCTACAGCCATCTAATCTTCAATAAGGGAGCTAAAAAAAATAGAATGGAAGAAAGACAGCCTCTTCAGTAAATGGTGCTCACAAAATTGGTTAACTTCTTGTAGAAAACTAAAGTTAGATCCTTATATATCACCCTGCACCAGAATCAGCTCCAAATGGATCAAAGACCTAGAAGTCAAAGCAGACTCTTTGAAAACACTACAGGATGGAATAGGAGAAACCCTAGGTCTCCTTGACACAGGCAGACATTTTCTTAGTGGAGACCCAGAAACACAACAAATCAAAGAAAGGTTGGACAAATGGGATTGCATGAAATTGCAGAGCTTCTTCATGGCAAAGGACATAGCTAGCAAGATCAATAGAAAGCCCACGGCTTGAGAGAAGATCTTCACTAGCCATACAACAGACAAGAGTCTCATATCTAAAATATACTTGGAACTCAAAAAATTAAATCCCCCAACAACAAATCTTCAAAGAAACAACTGCCCAATAAATAAGTGGGCTAAAACTTAAAGAAAAACTTCTGTGAAGAGGAAAGAAGGATGGTCAATAGATACATGGAGAAATGCTCAACCTCCCTAGCCATAAAAGAAATGCAAATCAAAACAACATTGAGATACCACCTCACCCCAGTTAGAATGGCTAGAATCAAGAACTTTAATAACAACAGATGCTGGAGGGGATGTGGCCAGAAGGGAACCTTACTGTATTGTTGGTAGGAGTGTAAACTTGTCCAACCATTTTGGATAGCAGTATAGAGGTTCCTCAAAAGACTTCACATAGAACTCCCCTATGACCCAGCAATCCCACTTTTGGCATTTACCCAAATGATCACAAACAAGACCACACTAAAGCTACCAGCACAACTATGTTTATTGCAGCATTATTTACCATAGCTAAGATCTGGAACCAACCCAGATGCCCCTCAGTAGATGAATGGATCAAGAAAATTTGGTATATATATACACAATGGAATTCTATGCTGCCATCAGAAAGAATGACATTGCCCCATTTGTTGGAAATGGAAATCCTTGGAAAAAATTATATTAAGTGAAGTAAGCCAGGCCAAAGAAACATAGGTCCCATGATTTCCCTTATTTGCAATAACTAGTATATGTCTGAGTCAAGCAGAAAAGATCAGATAAGTTGATGTTAGGTGAATAAACCCCAAGATAAGTATTCAATTTTTTTTCTTTCATGCAATTGTTTCTAACACATTTATAAGATTATTTCTTTGTTGCTTTGAATGTCCCTCCCCCACGGTATAAGCCCTGCTTTCACTGTATTTGATGTTGGTATAATTTGTGGAGGGGAAGAGAAAAAAACAAATCGTTTAAGTAGGGATACAGGTGGGCCCATTGCAACAATGAGATGTACAAGTTATGTTGAAAAATGAACCCTATAACTTTGGTGAGGGTGTGGGGGGACATGGGGGATGAGGGGCGGGGATGGGAAGGGATGGGAAGGGAAACAAAGGAGGAGGCAACAATGCTTGATAAGAAATGTACGCATTATCTTGCCATGTAATTGTAACTCCTCTGTACGGTATTTTCACAATGAAAAAAAAAGAAAACCAATTAAAAAAAAACACCAATGAGGAAGCAATGGGAGGGGAGGAGGAATGTGTGTGTGTGTGTGTGTGTCTGTGTATGTGTGTGTGTGTGTATGTGTGTGTGTGTGTGTGTGTGTGTGTGTGGTGTGTGTGTGTGTAGAGAGAGAGAGACAGAAAGAGACAGGCAGAGAGAGACAGACAGAGGACAGAGACACAGAGATAAAGAGAGAGACAGAGACAAAGAGAGGCAGAGGCACAGAGAGAGAGAGGGAGACAAAGGAGGGAGATATAGACAGAGAGGGAGACAGAGAGAGGTAGGAAGAGAGAGGGAAGGGATTTAACTTTCCTAATGACACTGGCTCCAGGTACCCTTTTATTCCTCCCAGAAAATCTAGAGGTCACAATTGGGCAGACTGTGACCTGCAGTCACCAGCATTGGAGTTCCCAGTGTAATAATCAGCATGAGCCCTGGGGAGTGGTGAGCCACTTGGTATCTGAGGCTCACCATGCAGTTTCTTCAGTGGTATTTTCAGGCTGCACAAAAGTAGTCATATTGCCAAATTTGGTCATCAGTTTACTGATGCTTGCTGTAGCTTCCTAGTGTAGCAGTTTGCGTAGGACTAAAAATCAATATGTACTAGCAAGATTCTTATTCTATCCTGTATTTGTCAGATGGTAAAAAAATGAGTCCAGAGATTCAAATGGTAATACTCTCAAAGGGACATTTTCTCTCACTTCTGTTATAGCTTCCTATTTTCTATTCCATAAACACAGCTCCTTCCATTATGTCTACAATAAAATAAGTAACATCAATATTTTAACAATACTTGAAAAGGAAGCTTATGCATTTTATCCTAGATATTTGTTGGATGACCTCATTCCCCCTTTGGGCACAGATTTTCACATGTGTAGAATATTCTCCCCTTAGCTTCAGCAGAAGTTTCCCAAGTGCACCTTAAGCCTCACCAAAGCTCATTACCTTCACTTTTCACTGTGTTTGGTGGACTCACAGAAAGTTAAATGTCAATTCTATGAGACCTTGGGGGCACTTCCTGTATCTCTGCTGAGGCAGCAGATGTACTCTGAGCATCTTCTTTGGTGGATGATGCAAGCTTCACCACAGGCTCTAACACTGTAGGTGTTTCATAAGCAGCTGTTAATGTGTGAGACAGGATCCTAATACCTCAAATGATGTCTCACAGGGGACAGCCTGGGCCACACGTGTTCTGTCCCACTCAACTCTGAGTTCATATTGACTCAAGGGGCTGCATCTCCCGATGAAATGAAGATGAAATCATGGGAGAATAGCTCTAGAAGGGATCTTAGAGGTTCACAAGTGCACTCTTACTATCATACAGAAAGAAGTTAGAGGTGGCTCAGTGGTTTGAATCCAGGTCTCAGTTCCATGTTTCCAGCTTTTGTTATACTTAGCTGGTCCTTCAGCTATTCTAGCTCACCACCCAATCCTAGGTGTGGAGTAGGTGCTCAGTGTTTATTGAATTGATGAATGCTATTTCCAGCTGCCTGGGGCTTGCTGGTAGTTGCTTGCCAGCAACTAAAACATTCAATTTATTTATTATCTTTTATTTTTGCCAGTACTGGGGCTTGAACTCTGGGTCTGGCACTGTCATTGAGCTTTTTTTTTGCTCAAGGCATTCTACCTCTTTTTTTGGAGGGGGGTGTCTAGTCATGGGGCCTGAACTCTGGGCCTGGGCGCTGTCCCTCAGCTCTTCAGCTCAAGGCTAGCGCTCTACCACTTGAGCCACAGCACCATTTCTGGCTTTTTTCTTTTTGCTTATGTGGTGCTGAGGAATCGAACCCAGGGCCTCAGGCATGCAAGG